TAAGTTATTATTAATTCATGTGATCCAACAAGTATTCTCTCCCATCAACAACATCTCCTTTACTAGAGTTTAAGCTCTATGAAAAACAGGGACTTTGTTTTGTTCATTGATGTTTCTGTGTATCTACAACAGTTCCTAGATCATAGTGGATGTCCATTAAATACTTGTTGAATCAATGAAGTTCTAAACAAGGGGACCTTGCTGTCTCAGGTCCTTCCTATTCTGGCTGGCATTCAGACTCTCTTACCAGTCCTTGGCTTGCTTGGAGTGCTCCCCTGTCTCCTGGTTAACTCCCATTATCCTCTAATCTTAGCACAAGCATCACATCTTCAGAGAAACCTCTGAATTTCATCTTTGTAACATTTAAAAATGTTGCAATTTTATTTTTATTTGTATAATTTTGATTAGTATTTGACCTTAAACTTTGTAAGAACAGACATCAGGTCTGTTGGACACACCACTGAATTCTCATGGACTAGAAATAGACCCTCATTATCAATGTGCTGAATGAATGACTTTATCCACTCTCCTATTTTTTTTTCTTTTTTAAAGATCTCTCTGTCAGTGGGGCTGGGGTTGTGGCTCAGTGGTAGAGTGATTGCCTAGCAAGTGTGAAGTACTGGGTTCCATCCCCCGGCACCCCATAAAAAACAAGCAAATAAAATATTGTGTCCATCTGCAACTAATATATATATATATATATGTGTGTATATATATATATATATATATATATATATATATATATATATATCCCTCTCTCTAGGAAGTGGGGTCAGTCCCAGGCTTGTGCCAGTGCTACACCATAAATCAACCCTTTCTCCTGTTTCTGGATGGAGCATTCTGACTCTCCCCCAGGCAGGGTAATTTGTCAGCCCCTAGGTGTCTTATTACTGCTTCTCAGGACTTCATTATGCAGCTAGTCCATCCAGCAGGAGTTCCAGAAAAGCCAGGATTTTGGCAGGGCTGGGAGTATGGGATGGGATCTGCCATTTACTCCTACCCTACCCTCGCTCTATTTATATTTAGTATTTATCACACTGTGTTGTAACTGTTAATTTTCAGATGTCTCACCATCCCCACACAGCTAGGGCAGGATTATCTCTTGCCACCAGAGGCTACTGTAATGCCTAGCATGCAACAAATGCTCATAAAAGTTTCTTGAAGGAATGCAATGTTTTTCATGAGTGAAGCTTTAATGAGGACAAGAACCAATTCATAGGAAAGGGCGCACTGTCTCTGGCATTTTTCTTTTTAAGCCAAGAAACACCTTTCTATTTAGGTTAATTTTGATTGCAGTTTTTTGTTGCTCAGAACTGAAAACATTCTTGAAAACAGCAATAACTAATGGTGTCCAAGTATAGGATCTCTGATAAGATTTTTGTACAAAAATATTCACCCCTCTCACTTACCTCCTTAAGAATAGACTTCCTAATCTCTTGTCTTTGGGCTCAACCCCAGGAGTAGTTTTAGCCTGCGGGATGTTAGCAGACATGTACAAATGGCAGTGTAGAAAGTGCTTGCATGGTTGGGCCTGTCCCTGTGCAACACTGCCACATCCCTAATAGTTCCTTCTGATAGCTGCTGCCACTTCAGCCAGGGTCTCAGAATGAATACTGGTGGAATGAACCAGAACTCAGTCTGCGCACTGGACCCAAGCCCAGCTGGATCTGAGAACCATACAGCCAGGCCTCGCCTTGACCAGTCAAGTCCCAGACAACCCCTATGAGACCCAAGAGAAATGATTATTATTTCATGCTGCTGAGAATTTATGGTTGTTATGGAGCAATAGCTGATTGATCAAGATGAGGTCAGAGGTTTTCAAATATGACAGGACATTGAGTTATCTAGAGAACTTTAAAAGCAATGAGATACTTGAGCTTCACCCAGACTGGAATGATGTTCAGAATTTACATTTCTTTTAAACTCTCAGAGTGGATTTTATGTACCAAGTCCTATATCATTTTGTTATCTGGTATTTTGGAGCCACATAATATTAGAGTGTGATGGGGGTTTTATTAGATAACCTCTAAGATCCTCTTTTTCTGAGATTGTATGGTGAAAGTCAGAGAAATCCTCTTTCTGAATTAGAGTCCTTTTCAATTTAAAAACTTTTTTTTTTTTTTTTTGTACCAGGGATATTGAACTCAGGATACTTAACTACTAAGCCACATCCCCAACCCTTTATTGTATTTAGAGACAGGGTCTCACTGAGTTGCTGAGGGCCTTGCTAAGTTGCTAAGGCTAGCTTTGAACTTACGTTCCTCCTGCCTCAGCCTCCTGAGCTGCTGGGATTACAGGTGTGCACCACTGCACCCGGCTCACTCTGAAAACTTTTCAGAAATGTGTGTTGAATTTTTCTTACCTAATTTGGAGAAAGACACAGATGTAAATTAAATTATGATTTATGAACCCAGGGTTGTTTCCTTTTTATTTAAGTATTATCTACTCTTACTATTTCTGCCTGGGCTATGGTCAGTCAATGAATAAAAATTTAAGGCAGAATACTGGGGTTGGGATGCCAAGATACATGCCAGGGAAGTAGCACAGGTGAAGTCAAGATTCAAAGAGCTGCTGAAGGAGTGCTCTGAGAATGAGCATTCCTCTGTGGCTTAGCAGTCAGGCACCTGGGATCACACCTAATTCAGGAAAGTCTGAAGTTCAGTTGTAGTTGTAACAACTGCCATGACACTGCTGACAGTTTGGAGGTTTGAGGCAAATCTTAATGTTAAAAACTGCAAATTTATTTATGTAAATAGCAGAATGAAGACATAATTTAAAAGGAAATAATTTTTTAAAATTTTAACGATAAGAAACTGTCACTGAAAAAATTCAGATCATAGCCAGGTGCAATGGCCCACACCTGTAATCCCAGCAGCTCAGGAGGCTGAGGCAGGAGGACTGCAAGTTTGAGGACAGCCTCAGCAATTTGGCCAAGCTCTAAGCAACTTAGTGAGACCCTGTCTCAAAATATCAAAGGGCTGAAGAGGTTGCTCAGTGGTAGAGTACCCTGAGTTTAAAACCCTGCTTCCAAAAAAAAGTTCAGATCATACAGAAAAACATAAAGGACAAGGAACTATTTCTCACAAGCTATTTCTCAGAGATAACCATTGCTGTATAGTCATCTTGACTTTTTTCCTATGGATGTGTACACATGTACATTTTAGAAAAATAGGATTTTCTTATACACCCTCATTACTGCTTTTTTCCATGTCAATAAACATTAACCTAATTGTCATTGCTGTTAAAGCTGTATTATAGGCCAACATACTGAGATGTATCATACTTTATATTTAACTAGTCCCCACTGGTGGACAGTTAGGTTATATTTTACTATTGTAAAAAGGCTCTGGTAAACATCCTTATTTATATTTTTTTCTGATTTCTGTAGGATAAATTCCAATAAGTGGGATTGCTAGATTAAAGGGTAAATGCATTTTAAAGGTTTTTCATTCATGGTCAGATTGCCCTCCCAAAGAGTATAAATTAACAGCTGGAGGATTTGTCACTTCTTGTTAATCATCCTGGGGTGGGGACAGAATTTTATCTTATCTTTTATTACTAATGGCTTTAATTTTCTTTTCACATATTTATTGTCTACACTTTTTTTGTGAATAAGCCAGTCAGCTTTTTATTATTATCTGTTTGTGTAAGTATTTTGTCTCATTTTTACATTGAAGGCATTTTTCCTGATGTGGATTTCCCACACATTTCTTAATTTTACGAGTTAAACTGGTGAGTTTTTCAAAGAGACTTAAAAATTCCTTCTGAGATAGGAGGCAGTATAATGGAATGAAGAGGGCAGAAGACTTCCCGAGAATTCAGTCCAGGATCTTATGTCTGGGTTATCACCTAGCAAGATGTGGCCTGAAGAACACTGGTCTGAGAGGCAGATCATGAAGTCTCTGGGTCCCAACTTCCTCATCTGTAGATGAGAATGAAAACTCCCGTGTAAGGCTGTAAAGAAGAACTGGAGAGAAACGCATGCAGAGAGCTTCCTCCAGGCCTCGGACCCAGCAAGTCCTCTCTAAATCTTGGCTGTTATTAGGGGGAGAGAGCAATACAGACTTTCCAAAGTATTTTAAATTCAGTCGGTGTGGCGCATCTGGGAACCCGGTGGGGGTGAGGTCCTAGAGATTCAGCCATTCACGTAGCATCTCATCTCTGTGAACTGCACGGCTGGAGTCAGAACTTGGGTTCCAATCCCGATCCTGCCCATTTTTTGGTGTGTGACCTTGGACAAGTCACCTTTTCCTCTCCGCGGTCGTTTTTTCACCTGGAGAACAGAGGGTGGCCCACCTGCCCCTCTTTCCCAGCGTTTCAAAACGTTTGACGGAAACGCTTCAAAAACGCTCACAAAGGGCAGCGACGACGTCTGTTAGGGAAACCCAGCCGACTAGGTCACCTCGGCACCGCGAAGCCCACCCGGCGGCGGAGAGGTGCGCGCCCCCCGCCCGGCCCCCGCCCCGCCGCAGGAACAATAGCAGCCCCGGAGGCGTTGCCGGCCGCGGGGGGGGGGGCGGAGCTGTCGGCGCGGGCGCTGGGGGTGTGCGCGGGGCGGGGTCGCAGCCACCCCTCCCGCCCGCGGCTCCGTCACGCGCCCCTCGCGGGGCGGGCCGGGGTCTTTGTGACGCGGTGGCGACGGCCGCGGACACAAAGGGAAGGGAGCCGACGAGCGAGGGGCTGGGCCTGCCCCCGCCCCGCGACCCCCGCCCACCGCGCGCGCGCCCGCTCGCGCCCCCAGTCTCGATCTCCCCCACGCGGGCTCGCACCCTTGCGCGCTCCCTCGCGCGCCCGCGACCCTCGCACGCGCCGGGACCCACCGACTTCGTCCCGAGCGCTGCGGGCCGGGGCCTGGCGGGCGCTGCGTGTGGGGCGGGGATGCCGAGGGGCTGCTCCCGGGTGCAGCGGCGCGGCTGCTAGGAGGCAGAGAGAGGCGGCGGCGGGGCTCTGGGCGCGCGGCTGGATGCCCCCGGCCTGCAGCTCCCTGCACTTCCCGCCGTCCAGGGGCGCCAGCCATGGGCGCCGCGTCCGCTGAGGGGCCGCTCCGGCTGGCTGCCGCGCCCCCGCTCGCCTTCTGCTGCTACACGTCGGTGCTTCTGCTCTTCGCCTTCTCCCTGCCCGGCAGCCGCGCGTCCAACCAGCCCCCGGGTGGCGGCAGCGGCGGCGGCGGGGACTGTCCCGGTGGCAAAGGCAAGAGCATCAACTGCTCAGGTAGGACCGGCCGGAGCCCGCCCCGGGGCCCCTCCCTCCGCCGTCGCCCCGTTCCGGGTTCTCGCGGCGGGGCTGGGAAAGACCCTGGCGCGAGGGCGGAGGGCAGGGCGCGAGCGCGCGGTGCTGGCTTGGGAACCGGCGTTGGGGACGGGGAGTGGCCTGCGTGCGTCCGTGGATGTCGGGTGGCTGGGCGAGGGCGGCCCCGCTCCTGGCGAGCCTGCGGGGCTGGACCCCGCGGGGCGGGCGGCCGGGGCTCCCGGCGTGGTCGTGGGTGTGCTCGCGGGAGCGCGTGTTTGTGTTGTGAAGGCTCCGGGGAGGGCGGCCGGCCCCAGGCTGGCGTCTGTGGGAGAGCGCTGTGGTGGAGATGGTGAGGGGCTGGGGGCGAGGCGCAGGGGCAGAGGAGTGCCCCGCGGTCTCCGGCTCGTTGTAGGAAATGGAACGGGTGGCCCGAGGGCGCGGGTGGCGGTAGAAAGAGTGTGTGAGACACCTTCGGGTTCAGAGGTGGGATGGGGTCTTGAAGTGTCCCCAGGTCTTTGGATGTGGGGAAAGACCCAGGGCTCAGAAAGTGACCCGTGTTTTTGTGTGTTGTGTGTGGATGAAGCCTGGGGCTCAGGTAGTCCCCCTGGCGTTTGCATTGAGGAGGAGGGATAGGAGTCCTAGAGTGAACCCCGTTTACAGAGGGAGGGGGCCAGGGAGTCATCTTGTGTGGGGTTTGAGTATAAAAACAGGTAATTTAGGCCTCAGAGAGTGCCCCCTGGGTTATTAAGATGGTTGTGCAAAAAGGAGAGGGTGATGTGCCTGTGTCTCTGTGTTTTGCCAGAGGGAGAGCCCAGAGATTGGCAGCCAGGGGAGCTAGGGAATGACCTCTCCCCTCTCTCCAAGGCCGCCTGCCCTCCCACAGCTGTTGGAAACAAAGAGCTTGCTGGGGCTTTAATGGATGACACCGGGGAGGAGGGTACGGGGCATTTAAGTTTCCTCTTCCTTTCTAAAGGGGTCCCAGAGGAACCCAAGGATTCAGGCCTGGGGCAAGGAAAGGCATCCAGGTCTCTTCCGGGGTGGGGGTGGGTGGGTTGGTCCTGAGGCTGGCCTAGTAGATACTACTAATTATAAGATAATGCTTACTAACTTGTCCTTTTGTCAGTTCTCAAACCACCACTAGTCTTTAAACCCAGGGAAAGGGGGAAGAAGGATGGACAGGAGGCCACCAGGAATCTGCTGGCTAGCCTGCCAGACAACCTTTGTACCTTCTGGCTCTGAAGAGGCATTGTTTTGGGGTAGAGGGGAGGGCTGATGAAGGAGCAAGAGAGGGGTCTCAGCCCAGGGCTAAGGTTTTGGCCTGCCTTTTATGTTTGAAGGCCTAAAACCTTTTAATAATTTCACATGGTATGTTTTATGAGGGGGGGATGGGGTTTGAGAACAGTTAACAATGGCATGTCCGTTAAAAGCCTTTCCATCCATGAAATAACTTTTTCTAATGGTAAGTGGGATATGAGATAGGGCTTTAATAAGTAAGCATACTTTATTTAAGAATAAAAGCAATTTGTATATTAGAGTGCCTTTTTAGAAAAAAACAAATATTGGTTATCAAACTTGCAAGTGATCACACATGTCAAAATATTTTACAGACTAATATGCTATGGTTATTTGTTTTTGCTAAGCAAAGTTGTCTTTAACAAAATATGGTGTGTATTGGTTGATTTTCTTTTTTTTTTTTTCTTTTCTGTATGCCTTCTAACTCTTTAATGCAGAGGTTGTTTTTAAAAAGGAAATAGAGAACTGGAAACCCACATGATGTGGGGAAAAGGGCATGGGATCTAGGAGTCATGGCCATTGGTAAAAAGCAGCTGGGTAACTTGGGGCAGGTTATTTAATTTTTTTGTTTTTGGTTTCTTTTATTATAAGAGAGACTTCGATTTAATAATATCAGAGCCTTCTTTCAAGGAATATTTGTGACTGATAAAAATGTCAATAAATTAGACTGATCAAATAAAACGTTTTCTAGTCCTAAGAGACACTTGAATGACTCTAGGTCTGAAGCTAAAGTATTAACTAAATGAAATTTATAGATTCTTTTTGTAACTGTTAAAGGATGAAGACTGGGAAAAACTCATATGGAAATACGTGTGTTTTTTAATTGATGAACTTGAGAACTATTTGAGACAGTCTGGATATAAGCATCTGTTAATGCAATTGAAGATTGTGTGTAGGTCTTTTAATGATGTTATATACTTATTCATGTATTTGAGTTTTAAAATCTAAATGCTGGCCCTGACTTCTATGGACTTTCATTTTTGCTTTTGGATCACCACTTCAGCCCACCATGACTCTTCTGGAGCTTTATTCTGTCTGACTGTGTATGTTGGGCCACTAAGCTTTGAGGCATGTACAAAGTGAAGAGCAGGTCTATGACTTTATTAATTTTTTAATTAAATTAACAGAAGTTATGTAGATTGTGGGAAAGGGTGGAACCCTGTGATGTTTACTGGAGACTGCCTATAAAGTTGGTTGATGTTGATGCATGAGTCACTGATATGTTCAACCAGCTATAAATCCTCTTGGTTGAGTTCAACAGATTTTCCAGCTACCGCTGTTCAACATTTTCCATTTTGTTTATCATACACTCATTAAAAGATTTGGTCAGATTGTCTTGTTGGAATCAGTTGTGTAAATGTCTGTATCATCTTTTTTTTTTTTTCTCCATTTTAGTAATCCTATCAAAAAGCAAAGGTGTGGAGCTTGCCTTAGTGTAAAGGTCCCCGTGGTGGCTTTCCATAAACTGTATTCAAAGACTTGTTATTTACTCATTCTAGAATTTTTTAGCTAATATGTGGCAAGAAAACCCATAGATGCTTTTCTGAATTTACATGTCCCGTTTTTTGAAGATTGAGGATGCATTCTTTTCATTTCTGACTCCTGCTGCCTTGTCAAGGTAGCTTAAATAACTACTGGTTAGAGTAATTTTTTTTTGTCGGATGTGAAAGTTTTTTAAGTATTGTGCAGTGTTAAATTTGATCAGAAAGTAGATACTTTTGAACTAGTTTTATATTCCGTTTCTGTCCACTATCCAAGCTACTCATCTTAGATGTTAGCTCCCTTTTGTTAAAATTCTAACCTTTCCAGTTTGAAGATCAGGCTCCTTCATGAAGACAAGCAAAGAAGCTGAATGGGTCTGCATTGTCCTTTTGTCTTTTGATATTACGACATCTTCCCTAAGCAGTGGGTCCTTTGTTTATGTCTTCTTGCTCTAAATAGCCCTTTTTTGTTGTTTTCTTGCCTCAGTATGCCACTCATTCTGGACAGGCTTATTGGTTATTACCTTTGATTTTTTTTATCTTTTTATTTTCCTTTCAAATTCTAACATATGAGAAAGTACTTTATTCATTCAAAGAAAAAAAGTTTGGCACCCATGACATTTATGATTGAGCTCAGGAGACCAGGTAACCCAAAATGTGTGATTTTTTTTCCCACTTCTAACATGAATAAGTGATTTTTTAATTTAGAAATTTTTTTTTTTCTTTAGGGTGTTTGAGATGAAACATATGAGGCATTTCTATCTTAGGGAATATGCTAAAGCGGCAGAAGAACACATGAAGAGCCCAATAAATAGCATTTGGTGATAGACATAAGGTAGAGAATTTGAACTAGGTTTTAAAAATGTCACAGAAGTGGAGCTGGGGTTGTGGCTCAGTGGTAGAGTGCTTGCCTAGCATGAGTGAGGCACTGGGTTTGATCCTCAGCACCGCATAAAAAATAAAGTTTTTGTATTCATCTACAAATAAAAAATATTTCAAAAAAATGTCACAGCAGTTAAACATGGGCCCTCTGGATTGTTATATGATGGTAAGAATGGCTTGTGGTATATGGATAGAATAAATGTCAGATTAAGAGAAGTGCCATTTTAGTGGGAATTTAGAATTTTGGGGGATAAAAAAGTGAGTTTTTCTAATTGTGGAATCTGGATCAGGACACGTTTCTTCTAGAGTCCTGGATATTAATTAATTTAGTGAACTTTGATTTACTATGATACACTAGGTGGTAAGGTAAATATATGTGAGGCATCTCTGTCCTCCAGGGCCAGAGTCTGACAGAGGTAGTTGGCCTCTAACAAATGTGTTCTGGTGGAAATGTCTGCTTAGTAGTACGCCTGGGCCTGCCTTCTCTCCACTAACAATCATTTATTGAACACTAGTAGCATTTAAATTTCTTTAAAGGTGTACAGTTTAGTGGTTTTTAGTATATTCACAAAGTTAGACACTAATTCCATAACATTTTCTTCACCCCCAAAAGAATCCCAATGCCTGTCAACAGTCACTCTACATTTCTACTTTTCTCTGTCCTCTGGCTGCTACTAATTTACCTTGTGTTTCTATGGATTTTCCTATTTTGGATAAAGACAATGTGTTGTCTTTTGTGTCTATTTCTTTCACTTACCATAATGTTTTTAGTGTTCATCCATATGGTAGCGTGTATTAGAACTTCATTACTTTTTATGACAATAATATTCTGCTGTATGGCTGTACCATATTTTGTGTATCCATTGCTCCATTAATGGATATTTGAGTTGTTTTTACTTTTTAATTATGAATAATGCTGCTGTAACATTTATATACAAGTTTTGTGTAGACTTATGTTTTCAGTTCTCTTAGGTGTACAAGAGTAGAATTGATGGGTCACATGGTAACTCTGTTTAACATTTTTGAGTAATTGCCAAAGCATTTTATGCTTCCCATCATTAATGTCTGAGGGTTCCGTTTCTTCACATTCTATGCTTGCTTTTTTTTTTTTTTGGTATAGCCATTCTAATGGGTATGAAGTTGTGTACTACTGTGATTTTGATTTGCATTTCCTTAGCGACTAATGATGTTAAGCAAATATTCATGTGCTTATTGGCCTTTGTATATCTTGTTTGAAGAAGTATCTATTCAAATCCTTTGTTGGGTTTGATTTGACATCTTGGTTTAATCATTTCCTTGGTAAACCATATTAGGTAATACCCACAA